CTTCCCCTTTCATTCTCCAATAAAGGAAATCATTAAAGGACCAGGGAAATGAGCCTTTGGCAGGGTTCCTACAAGGCTGCTCAGCTCGAGGGTGCTGCAACGGGCTTGAAGCCTTTCACAGGAGCGGAGGAGAAACCCAGGGAGCTGCTGTGACGCCTCTGCCAGGGGTTTGGCCACTCCTGTGGCTCTGCTCCCTTCCTGCTGCTCTCAGAGGGAATTTGCTGTCTCTGCCGGAGCAAAGCACAGCCCAATCCCTGCACGGCTTCGGATGAAGCCAGCCTTTGCCATCCGCGGCAGTGGTTACCAGCCTGCAGCAATCCCACCTGAGAGCGATGCTCTGAAGGAAACCAGGCTGCCTCCCCCCAGGTATCCCACCTTTATGCATGCATCCCGCAGCTCGCCTGGCTGGGGGTTGCTGTGGGGCTCCCTGGGCAGCTCCCCTGCGCCCTCACTCTTGTGTCGCTGAACTGAAGAGGGTTTTCCCAGCATGATTTGGGCAGCATCTTCTACTCCCTATGCCCCTGTGCTTATGCCCTGTGCACTGAGATGGTTCAACAGGACCCGCATGTACCTGGGGGGATTCACTGCCTTGCCCTGGCCACTCAAGCCCCTCTGACGCTGTCTCCCTTCCTGACTTCTCCCAGACACATCCATCTGGGGCTGTTTAACCGCTCCCTCCAGGAAGGCCACATCCATTAAAGTAAAGGCCTATCAGCACCTCTCCTGGTTTGCACCCAGCTGCAGCAAAGCAGAATCATCAGGGGGTGGAATTTGGGCAGAAGAAGAAGGGGAAGGGCAGGGCTTTGCCTTCCCTTTGCTGCCTGTTCTTGCTGGTGGTGGCAGTGCTGTCCCTTTCCCAGGTAAGATGTAAGAGCTCTTTGATGCATTGAATGGGGTGGGGGGGACACCCTGAGATGCAGGGACCTTCCCACCTCCCTGAGCCTGAGGTCAATAGGGATGTGGTGGTGGGTTAAACCAGCACCTTGCTTTGGGGCTGGAAAAGCTTCAGGCACAGATCTAGGAGGAGGTTAAGGGAGGAAGGATCCCCCTTTAGCTCCCACCTTGATCCCAGCAGCCGAGCAGCCCCTGCACTCGCATGCACGAGCTGTGCCCAGCACCGGCACACAGCCATCGCCGAGGCATTCCCGGCTTTCCCGCCGACCTGCTTCCCATTATCTGGGAATGTGGCTCTCGCCAACATATGGGAGGCAGATTTTTGCCTGGGGGTGCAAAGGGAAGAGCTGGAGCCGCTGATGCTGGCGCTGACCCGTGCGCCCTGCGCAGCGCAGGTACCGCGGGGCTGGTCCTGGGGCAGGGAATGAAGCATCCCCGAAGGCTCTGGGCTGGCTGCAGCCCCGGCTCCGCGCTGAACTGCGGGGGGAACTCGCTGGGCTTGCTGCTGGCGGCAGGCAGGTGGACGGGGAAGAAATATAGGTGAGATTAGCGCCTGTCAGCCGCAGCTGGGCGCCGTGAGCCCCGCTGGAGCTCAGCTTTCGGTTCCCATCTTTGTCCCTCTGCAAAGGGAAGGTCCCGGGCTCCCGCAGGGGCCCGGAGCTGAACCGAAAGCCTCTTGGTGGGATTTTGCTGTGAGGGTTTCTTCCCGCTGGTGAGGTTCTGCGGGACCAGGGGATGCCGAGTGCAGCGCAGCACAGGGCTCTCTGCTGTGGGTGCTCAGAGCTGGCGTGGACCCAGCACGGGTCCATACGGTGCTGCCCCTGCATCCTGCATCTTCCATCACCCCCCAAGCCAGCCCCAGCCTGGGGGGAGCCCCCCCAGAGCTCCTTACAGCAGATGCGGTATTAAGCAGGGGGCCGGGCTCCCCCTCCACAGGCACCCATAAAGAAGGGTAAGGAGGTTTTCCAGGGCCTTTTCCCCAGCCCTGCTCACCAGCCAGGGCAAACAGCAGGCTCCTTTCCAGGTCTTAGTGCCCTTTCCTTCCCTTTCTTTCCTTTCTTTCCTTCCCTTTCTTGCCACTCTCCTCCCATCTCCTGCACTAACCATAAATCAGGTTCCTGTCCCCAGGGATCATCGAATGCAGCTGGTCCCTCACACGAAGGCCACCTCAAAAAGCTCCTTCCCTCCCTCTCCCCCCAGCACAGCTTCAGCCAGGGCTGCAGGGAGGGCAATGCAGGGAGAGGATGCTCGTTGCCCCCTCCAGGTCCCGCCTGCTCCAGGCTCCCTTCCCAGGCCCTGCAGGCAGGAATCCTTCAGCTCACTCTCACTGCCCGGCTCTGCTCCTCTTCTCTATTCCAGCCTCTTTCCCAGGGGAGGCTGGGGATTAAGAGGAAACAGATTAAACCTAATGGATTGATTGCAATTATTTTCCCTTGTTTATCTGCAACACCGTGGGGGAGCCTGGAAAAGAAGGAAAGGGAATGCTCTTTATGTGTGTGCAGTCCTGGTCCTCATTATGTTCCTGCTGGAGAGCGACCAGGGCCAGACAAAAATAAACCCGGCTACAACTGAGCATCCTATTTCAAGCTCTTAGAAACTGTGATGTGTAAATACTTCTGGGTGCAAACCCACGCACAACCCTGAGCAAAGCAGCTCCAGCACCAGCCCTGCGAGGTTCCAGCTGCCCGTGCCCATGTGTCCCATGTTTCCTGGGGACATGCACCCTCCTTGGAGCAAGAGTCAACCTCTTGTTTGGGGGAATCCCAGACTTAGGGATTTAAGGGACCTTAAAGCTCATCCAGTTCCAACCCTGCCACAGGCAGGGACACCTTCCACTAGAGCAGCTTGCTCCAAGCCCCATCCAACCTGGCCTTGAACACCCTCACCTCAATGAACCTCCCTGGGTCTGGAGGGCATGAGGCTGATCCTACCCTTTGTGGTGCCAAGGGCATCACTGAGAACAGCACCAGGAACAGAAACAGGTGCCTTGTGCTCAAAGCAGCAATCAAAGTAAGGGACTTGAGCCTTTTAATCCCCTTCTATGAAGCAACTCGGAGGAGGAGGAAGGTTCCCTCTTTTCCTGGGGTTTTCCCCAATGCCCAAGGTCTTTCCTGGATTGGGAGCGGGGCAGAGCACAGCAGTGAGCTGCTCTACAAGGCTGGATGAGTCGCTCCCAATGTTCCTGGCTGAGGTCCGAGTCTCCTCTGTGTGCTCCCAAGAAATCCTCCTCCACGAGATAAGATCCAACTTTACATTCCTGCTGTTTATAAGATTAGAAAGGGAGAATGGGGAAGAAAGAAGGAAAAAATCCCACCACCCCTGAAGGCTTTGGGGCCATTTTAGTGGATTCCCAAACCATGGATTCTCCATCTATCAATTCCCAAACCTCAGTTCTTGAGGAAACCAGGAGGTGGAAAAACCAAGCAGGACACCAATGTAGTGATGCTCTTTATTGGCATCCGACAGATACACAAGGACAGCTACCCCCCGTGCATCACCCCCGTGCATCACCCCCCCATCTCATGCTGCTCACACACCCCCCAACAAACCCCCCCAAAACCCTTCTACAATGGCTATTTCTTCACCAGAAAACTTCCTACTAAATCCAACTGGAATTACACAGGGGTGAGTGGAGAAACACACGTTCTTTGTACAACAGAAGCGTTAGAAAAGGACACACAACGAACCGACGAGCACGAACTTTGGCTTGGGTTTTCCCTCCTTGCTTTTCTTCAATACACTGATTCCTGCAGCCAGGGACTCAAGGCAGCCCCCGGCTTCTCTTTGGCTGCTGAGTTTGTCTCCATTTCCTCAGCCCTGAGGAATTCCCTTATGGCAACTGAGACCTGAGACCGTGGCAAGATTGTCCTGAAGGAAAGCAAATTCCAGCTGGCAAAGGTAGGGCCGGGTTTGGCTTCTGAGGCTGAAGCGGGCCCATGGCTTTGCTTTTGATCTGGGCACTTTTATTCCAGTCACCCTTAGTCTGTGTTTGAGTCACTTCCCCAAAACAAGGGACCAATGGAAACAACCTGATGACAACCAGAGCATCCCGAAAGCATCCCCGTGGATGGCTTGGCCCGGTAGGAGCCGGCGCCCCAGCAGCAGGTTTGAAAGCTGGAGGCACCCACTGCAAGTTGGGGGGGAATTCAGGTTTCCTTGGATTTCAGTGATGGGAGAGGTTCAGGATTTGTACCTGGGACTCGCAGCCCTGCTGGGATCCAAGTGTTTCTAACCAAGGGGTTTGACACGGGCAGCCAGCAGCCAAAGTGTCGCAGGGGTTCATCCAAAGGGATCATTGCTATTCATCCAAAGGGATCTTTGCTATTCATCCAAAGGGATCTTTGCTATTCATCCAAAGGGATCGTTGCTGTTCATCCAAAGGGATCGTTGCTGTTCATCCAAAGGGATCTTTGCTGTTCATCCAAAGGGATCTTTGCTGTTCATCCAAAGGGATCGTTGCTGTTCATCCAAAGGGATCTTTGCTATTCATCCAAAGGGATCTTTGCTGTTCATCCAAAGGGATCATTGCTGTTCATCCAAAGGGATCGTTGCTGTTCATCCAAAGGGATCTTTGCTATTCATCCAAAGGGATCGTTGCTGTTCATCCAAAGGGATCTTTGCTATTCATCCAAAGGGATCGTTGCTGTTCATCCAAAGGGATCGTTGCTGTTCATCCAAAGGGATCGTTGCTCTTTTGCTGCATGAGAGCAGGAGGTGTCAAATACCTCATCCTGAAGATCCAGATTCAGCCTGTGCTGCTTTAGCATCCAAAGCACAGGCAGAATTCCCAAAAGCTCTGGAAAGATCTGGGCACTCAAATCCTATTGATGCAGGCTCTGATCCCTCTGGAAGCACTGAGCTCTCCCTCCTGACACCCAGCAGCTCCACTGGGAACAAATCCTTCCACTTTCCCAAGTTCCTCCTGGACCTGCTGCCGTGGGTTCGGGATGTGCAGGTGTTTTCCTGCCTTCCCATTGAGTCTTTAAGGCCAAGAAACAAGGTGGGACCGAAGGCTTGGGCTGTAAAGCGAGAGCTCCGCAGGCTGTGAGGAAGAGGAGGGGCCGGGGCAGGGCCATCACCCCGCATCACACACACAAACATCGAGTACATAGTAAAAGGACCTGATATTATTTACACATCTTGCTTATCTCCCTAGGGAAGGGGAGGAAAGGCACCTCCTGCCTCCAGGAAAGAGCTTCTGCTGAACACGGAGGCGAAGGGGGAGTCCATGGATGCAGATGGAGCCAGCACCGGCTCATCCTTCCTCTGCAAAAGGCTCGCGATGCTTCAGGCAAGTGAGGAGCTGTGGTGGGAGCATTCCCCAGGGCCACAGTGGCAGCACCCATGGGTGCCACGGAGAGGCGGGGGTGCACCGAGGATGGGCAGCACCCGAGTAGAGGCAAAGGGCACCCAGGGGAGCAGGCGGGGGTGTTTCTGAGCCACCCTTCACAGTGCTGGAGGAGGAGCCCTTTCAAGCTGGGTCTGTGGGCGAGAAGGGGCAGTGCAACGGCAGCAGGGGTGGCTTTGCTCCTGGCTTGATGCAGCGAAGGGGTGAGGATGAGCAGAGCCCTTTGTCACGTCCCCGCTGCGGGCAGGCACTTTTTCAGCCCTTCAATGTCCTCCCCATGGAGCTCCAGCTCTGAGGAGGTGGTGCTGGCACCTCAGTGTTGGGATGCTCCCGGCTGCTCCTCAAATGGAGCGTGAGTGGAGCTCAATGGCAGCCCCATGGAGCCGTGCCCCCCACATTTCACAGTGTAGGCTGGGCTGCTGGAAGCCAAGTCCTTTCCCCCAGCGCCCCCACCGTGGTGCCAGAGGACCAGACCCCTTCCCAAATCCTGGTACAGCAGCTCCAGTTCTCCCTGTGCTCATCCCAGCCCTGTGGTTTGGGAAAGCAGCTGGATTTCAGGGTGCTGGGGAGGAGCAGGGGGTAGCGGTGGGGTGGGACAAGGAGGAAGGGCTGGAGGAAGAGAAGAGCTGGAGCCTCAGGGAGGAAGGGGAAGGGTCTGAAGGGGGGAGAGAAGAGGTTCCCGTGCCTGCGCAGCCTCGCCGGGCTGCAGGGGATGCTCTGGGGGCAGAGGGACTGCGGGTGCTGAGCAGGACCGAGCCCCGCATCCAACCGCTCAGGGGCTGCCGGGGGCAGGCGGCGTCGGGAGGGGGCGATACCGGAAACAGGAGCTCAGTGCATAGAGGGCTGGGAGCTGGGGGGGCCCGGGGAGCCCCCGCTTCCTTCCCACCCTCCCCTCCGGGGCGCCGGGTGCCGGGGAGCGGAGAGGCGCGGGGGGGAAGGGGGAAGGGGACCCCGCGGGGCCGCCCCGGGCCGCCCTTCAGACGGGGGAGGTGGCGGTGGAGTCGCTGTGGAGGCTCTCGGCGATGTCCCCGCGCTGGATCTTGCGCAGGGCCGCGAGCAGCGCGTCCAGCGTGGCCGTGTCCCTGGAGGACCAGTGAGCCAGGAGGGCCCGGGCCGGGCACTCCTCCCGCGTGAAGGAGTCTATGAGGTCCTCCCTGTAGCCCAGCTCCGCCGCCAGCTGCCGCCACGTCTCCTCTGCCGAGCTGCCCAGCAGCTTCTCCACCTCCTCCTGCTTGCCGGGCGGGAGGCTGGCGTAGAGGCTCCCGTCTCCCTTGGGCGCTGGGGAGGGCGAGGCACAGCGGGACGGAATGGTTTGGGTTGGAAGGTCCCATCTCAGCCCCCCTTGTCCTGCCCCTCCGTCCCTTGTCCAGAGCCCCTCTCCCGTAGCCCCTGTAGGCACTGGAGCTGCTCTGAGGTCTCCCCAGAGCGCACGAGGGGAGGAGGATCGCAGAATGGTTTGGGTTGGAAGAGACCTTAAAGGTCCTCTGGTTCCATCTCCTCCCTTTAAGTGCTGCTCACGCTCCGGGGGTGCAGCCCAGCGCACGGTGCAGGCTCTGGGCTGTACGTGCACGTTGCTGGGCCACATTGAGCTTCCCACCAGCCAACACCCCGAGCCCTTCATCCAGTCAGCGCAGCAGCATTACGCCCATCCCAGGGGTCCCTCGCCCACCCCGCAGCACCCAGTTCGCCCTACCTGGCCCCTGGGTGCTCTGGCTGGGCGGCTGCTGGTCGTGCAGGCTCTGGCTGTCCACCGAGATCCCGCTGTCGCTGTGCAGCTTCTCCCCCTCGGGCGAAGGCGTCTGGTTCACGGGGCGGTTGTTGGCCCCTTGCTTGTTCTGTTTGCAGTTGTTCCACCTGCAGGAGGGCAGCGGGAGGTGACAGGGGCAGGGCCCACGGCTCGGAGCCCCTTTGCTGGCTCGGCGCAGGGGGAAGCGCTCCTCCCGCAGCTCAGTGGTGCTGGGATCAGTTCAAATCAGTCTGAGGGCGCTGAGCTTTGCAGGGGACCAGGGCAGGGCTCCTTCTGCACGGATCTGCTGCAAGAATGCAGCTGCGCTGCCAGAGCGTGGGGCTGCCTGTGGGACCTTTGGGGTGTCTCCAGCCCCCGGGGAGCCGCTGGACCAGCCCCGGCTTGCCCAGGGATGCGCTGCTGATGCTGATGGGCCATGACGGCCGCCGCAGCGTGCAGGGGCCTGACAGGGGCAGGATGCAATGAGGGCTCCCCTCCCTGCACCCCCACTCTGCTGCCATCTCCCTCTTTCACCCCTCAACTGCCTGATTGGAAGCCCACCTCCTACCCCCCAGCCTGGTCACCTCCCTCTGCTTTGGCCACATCTCTGGCTGCAGGACCTCTGGGGGGGCACAGCCTGTTCCCCCCATCTAAGTCCTCTGCCAGGGCCCCACGGTGCTGCCTTGCTCCTCTACCTTTTGAAAGCGATGTAAGCCACCAGCCCCACCACCACGGCCGCCAGGATGGAGCAGTAGACGGGGATGAGGTTGTCGGCGGTGCCTCGGCTCAGGACAGGCTGTGAGCTGCCCATGATGGTGGTGACAGTGTCTGCCAGGGTGCTGGGCACCACCTCGGTGTTGAAGGGGTCCCTGGTGATGGGCTCAGGGCTGTCGGAGCCTGCTAGGGATGGGGTGTGCGTTGTCCAGCGCGGGTGCAGGTCTGCAGGGAAGAAAGAGGAGAGGAGAGGAGAGGAGAGGAGAGGAGAGGAGAGGAGAGGAGAGGAGAGGAGAGGAGAGGAGAGGAGAGGAGAGGAGAGGAGAGGAGAGGAGAGGAGAAGAGAGAAGAGAAGAGAAGAGAAGAGAAGAGAAGAGAAGAGAAGAGAAGAGAAGAGAAGAGAAGAGAAGAGAAGAGAAGAGAGAAGAGAAGAGAAGAAGAGATCAGCTGTGCAGCCATGGACCTTCTCCAAAGGCCGTGGGGCTTGTGGAGGTGCCAGCTCTGCCCATCCCCTTGTCCCCAGACATTGTCCCCAGGACAAGTGGAAGCTGTCCCCTGTCCTGAGTGGTGGTGCCTGGTCATGGCCATGGCTTTGTGAGCTCTGCTTCTCCAGCACTGGGTTTGCTCAAGTCCTGCAGCTCTTCCCACCACATGCAGCCTGCACGTTGAGCCCTGGACTCCCATTGCTGGTACCAAAGCCCCAAGCATCAGCCCCAGCTGCCTCCCCCTCATCTCCCACCTGCACCAGGACCTGTGCAAGGCAACCCAACAGTTCCAGAGCCCGGATTTGCCCCTTTCCAGCCCCAGCCTGCAGCCGCCCCCCAGTCCCAGCCCCACTTGGGAATGACCCATTCCCACCGCACCCAGGCAGCGAGTGGACACGTCTCGTCTTGCCCTGGGGAAACCCCTCCCTGGGCTCTGGCTCCTTCCCAAACCCCTCTCCAAGGGCTTGCCCTGCGCGGGATGGAGCGGGTGCCATGGTGGCATCCTGCCCTCCCGGCCGTGGCCCGCAGCCAGACCCCGCTGCCCTTTGGGATCGGCGCTGCGGTGGCCGGCCCGGCCGCTGCTGCAGGGCCCCGCTGCCAGCTCACAAAGCTGGCCCTGTGCTCCTTGACTTGTGCCTCCATTTACTCGACCCTCCCGAGGGAGCCGCTCCGGCTGCCCCCGCGCTGGGCACCAGCGGCGCCCGGGACAAAGCGCTTTTCAGTGCGGCTGGGAACGGCGCTGCGGCTGCCAGGGAGCAGCCCGGGGTGCTGGGGGGATGCTCTGCCCCTTCCCCTGGGCACCGAACCCCTCCCGGGCTGTTCCCGATTTCCCCAGCGCTTCAGGGCAGTTCATTCCCATTGGAAACCCAAGTTCCCTCCTGTGAAGGCTCAAGGAGCGCTGAGCACAGCCTCTGGGATTGGCGAACTTCTCGGCCCCATTCACTGCTCCCGGGCACCAAAAGCCGCCCGGCAGAGCGCCTGCACCTGCAGCAGCAGCGTCCTGCCGGGAGCCCAGCCAAGGAATACCCCGGGGAGGGCTGGGCAGACCCTGGGGGTGGGCATTTGCGAGGGAAACGGCTCTGGTAGGAGGGATTGCATCCACGCTGCAATGTCAGAGGGCTGGAATCTCAGCGGGACACTGGGGTCCTCCCTTCAAACCCTGTGTCCCCGTGGCTGTGGTGCAAAGGGAAACTGAGGCAGAAGCCCCGGTGAGCCCTGCTTTGCCCTCTGCCGTGGGGAAGGCGGCGTTACCTCTGCATTCGGCATCCGAGACGGCCGTGCACTCCTTCACCATCACCTCATTCTCCTCGCAGGTCGTGCAGGGCAGGCAGGGGTCCACGAAGTTGGCTTCACTGGAGAAGGTGCCCTCGGGACACTCCTCGCACACCGTGTCCTGCGAGTCCTTGCAGGGGAACATGAGGCCGAAGCCCACCTCGCACACGCGGCATTCCCGGCAGCTCCCGCTCGCCTCGTCCTGGAAGTAGCCGTAGGCGCAGCGGCACACGGCGTCGTCCGACTCCACGCAGGGCGCGGACATGCTCTGCAGCCCCACGCACTGCGTGCAGGGCTTGCACGGCTCCGTGGCGCTCACCGTGTCCGAGTAGGTGACGCCTGGCAGGGAGCGGAGCGGGAGGTGAGCGCGGGCCCAGCACCGCATCCCCATCCCTGCAGCCACTGCGGTCCTGGCAGTGGCTGCGTCCCATCCCCAGATGGTGCCGGGCCACGGAGATGGGTTTGTGCCTTTTCCTCCTCCTCCAGGCCAGAGGAGAAGAGAAGGCTCCTGAAGGGGAGACCTGAGAGCAGCTCCAGTGCCTGAAGGGGCTGCAGGAAAGCTGGAGAGGGGCTTGGGACAAGGGATGTAGGGACAGGGCAAGGGGAATGGCTTGAACCTGCCAGAGGGGAGACTGAGATGAGCTCTGAGGCACAAGCTCTTCCCTGTGAGGGTGCTGAGGCGCTGGCACAGGGTGCCCAGAGAAGCTGTGGCTGCCCCATCCCTGGCAGTGCTCAAGGCCAGGTTGGACACAGGGGCTTGGAGCAAGCTGCTCCAGTGGAAGGGGTCCCTGCCTTGGGATGCTCCACCAGCCCCTGCCTCGCTGCCTGCCCCACGGCACAACGGAGCGAGCAGAGCCAGAGCAGCACCAGGACACGCTCTGCTCCCATTAACCTGAGCTCAGCCTTTGCATTACTGTGAATTATTGATAGCACCATTAGAGCAGGGAAGTGGCCAGGAAAGGCCTGGAGCTGAGTGGGCACATTTTCCGTGGCAGCCGAGGTATCTGAGCCGAGCAATTACAGCCGAGATTCCAGCAGGGCCCCCTCGCTCCCTCCCTTCCACCCGCAGCGATGGAGGCTGGCGAAGGCGTCAATAAATCATGAGGCAGCCGTCAGGGCTGGCTGGCAAGGGGAGGGCAGAGACCATCAACTGAAGCAAGTGGCCAGCGGGCTCCTGCAGGGACCGTCCCCTCCGGCCACCGGAGCCTTTGGCTCTGGCAGTGCTTCGGGGATAGCAGGGTTTTGCTCAACTCTTTGGCTGCTGAATTGGAAGGGATCCAGCGGGAGAGCTCGGAGGCAGCCCGAGGTGCGGGCGGGGATGCCCACATTCCTCCCTGGCTCACGCCTGGCAGGCAGGGGAGGCTTTGCCAAGGCAGGGGCCGTCTGCGCCTGCCCAGCGCCCGCAGCATCCAGCACAGCCCCAGGGCCAGGAGACCCCGTCCCCATCCCAGCAGGGACCGATGATGGGGTCCGCAGGTTTCCTCCTCTTCCCACCCCAAAACCCCACTCTCGGCCCAGAGGGGAGCTTGGGGAGCGTTCTCCTTCCTGCAGCACACGCACCCATGAGTCACCCCATGGGCACCTGCACCCAGCAGCTCCCAGGGCTGGGGATTAATCCACACTGCATTAATAACCCAGGGAGCCTGCAGCTGGGGCAGGGCTGGGGGATAAAGCAGGAGGGTTTGCGGGAGGGGGGGATAACTCAGCCTGGGGCTTCCCAGCCTCTCTGCTGCTCCCTTTCTCTAAGTGGGTTTGGCTCCCTACTGGGTGCTGTTTCTTTCTAGGGTGATGGAGGAAAGATGCTGCCCTGGGGTGAGCCCCCTCTGCTGTGCAGGTAAGTGAGGGCGATCCCACAGAGGTGCTCCCATGGTGGCAGGGTTGTGGGATGCAGGTGAAGGGGTGTGGGGAAACCAAGGCATGGAGGGGGAGACTGGCAGCTGCCCGCAGCACTCGGCCTTGCTGGTTCAGCAGCAGCAGAGCTAAGCAGGATAATGAAGCCCTGGGCTCTGCTCTCTGTCTGTGTGCGATGCTGGGAGGCCTCACGGCTGCAGTTTGCTCCCATCTGCCCTCCTTCCTGCAGGGATGGAGGGAGGGACCAGAGCCTTTTGTCCTGGTGCTTTCCAGCTCAGCTCCTGACCCAACAGAGCTGCTGCCTGATGTTACCCCCCCTGCAAAAGTGCAAGTGCCTGGCCTGGGGCAACCTGGAGCTGGGATGCAAGCCAGAGCAGTGGCACTTGTATCTGCATCCATGGGCTTCCAGATGGCACCCAGGTCATGGTTCTGGTCCTGGTGCATCCATGTCCTCATGGAGGGTAGACATTCCCTTTATCCCCTCAGTTCCCAGAAAGAAACTGGGGAAACAAGCCATGTGCCAGGCTGGAAGTGCTGCTGATGGGAAGTGGGCTCTTTTGAGCATCCCTAGGGATGCAAAGTGACTCCCTGGCTTTCCAGCCCTGACAGGCTTCCTATAGGAAGGGCTCATGGGGATGGACAGCACAGTGGATGGATGAAGGGGTTGGGGCCTGCTGCAGCCCAGGAGGGATCCCACCATGTACCACAGCATTATCCTTGGAGCATCCCGGAGCCTGCGGCCGGTGGGATTCATCCTGCAGCCAGCACAGGGAAGTGAGCTCTGCTCATCGATTGTGCAGGAAAGCAGAGGTATTTTTAGCACTGCCCTGACACTGCTCTGCTTATTCTGCTCCTCCCTGCACTTTGCCTCCTCTTTGCTCTGCCCAAGCCACGCTCTGTCCATTCCCCCTCCCAAATCACATCCCCAGCACAATCTGGGCTTTGCTTTCCCTCCAAATACTTGTCCTTAGGCCTTCAAAGGCTTTGCAGCAGTAAATGTGAAGGGCAGATTGCTTATACCTATCATGGCATTGTTTAAACAGTAATAGCTGGACCACTTCATCTGTAAGCATTTAAGCAGGTCTCCAGCACACATCTCCAACTGACATTTATGAAGCATTTGATACAGGCAATGTGCCTGGAGCTGGCCAGGAGAAAACTGTTCCCTTCTCTCTGGGGGATCTTTGTGATTTGCTGCTTCTCTCTCAAACTTGCATTTAGGTTGCAGCCTTTCAAGGCTTTAAAAGGGGAAATAACACAGGTGGCTCAGTGAGAGGCATCCCATGGATGGATGCGGGACCAGCGCAGAGTGGGGAGGACAACGCAACTTGGGCTGGGAGCCCTCAGGAGGAGAGAGGAGCTGGAAGGGGGATTTGGAAAGGTGCCTGGGACCAACAGGTCCCAAAACGAGGAAAGCTGGGATGAGCAGGGCAGATGCTTTGGGGAAATGCTAGGGGTAAGCCTGGTGCCCGGGTAGAGCCTCCCTTCCAGGAGGGGAGGAGGATGCGCTTGGGGAGACCCGAGTAGCCGTGGCCCCGGTGCCGGCCCCCCTGCGGCTCCATGCGGAGGGGAGCAGGTACTCACTGTCCAGGCAGGGCTCGCAGACGGTCTGGTTGACCCCGCAGGGCTGCACCACCCCTTCGCCCAGGTTGCAGGCTCTGCAGCACTCCCCGCTCGCGGTGTACATCTTGGTGAAGCACCTCTCCTTGGAGCCCCAGGCGGGTCCCTGCCGGAGCAAACAGAGCCAGGAGGTGACCGCTGGGTGGGACCTTCCCTGCAGGGGCAGGCGGAGAAGGGGCCCTCATCCAGGCTTTGGGGGATATCCCAAGTGAGGGGCAAAGGGAGCTCCCGTTAAACACAGAAACGACTTCCCCGTGTGGAACCTGCTCAGCTCTGCCCAGCTCTAGCGCTGGAGGGAGCTCAGGAAAGCCCATGCCACCATAGGCAGGTATTTTGGGAGGGGGAATAAGGGCTTTTCTGCATGGCTACAGCATTGTTTGTTCCTCTCTTTAAGGCTGCTTTGCCATCCTGCAGGGCTTAGCCCCTGCCAGCCTGGGGGAAGGCAGGGCACTGCCTACAGCCCCTGCAGCAGTGAAGGGTTTGGAGACCTTGGGCGGCTCTTGCTGCACATAAGGACCAGAAGTCAGCCCCCCCGATGGAATGAAGACTTTGAAGGGAGCACCGAGAGCTTCAGCAACGTTACTGTCTAATGGAAGTAAGTGTATCTGCTTCCCAAACCTGCTGTAACATATGGAAGCAATAAATGTGCCACGAGCCATGGGGTCAGAGCCACCCTGCAGATGCCCATTGCAGCCTGGGGAGTGGGGTGCATTTACAGGATGCTTGCCCCCCAAAGCCCCTCTTGGCCATGGCTGTGTGGTGCACGAAGCATCTCTGCCTGAGTGCAGGGCTGCCGACATGCTCGTGGGTGACCCAGCCTCTGCCAGGGCTCCTTTTGCACCCTCTACTCGCACTGTGTGGTCCAGGCTAGGACCATGCCTTTGGCATCCAACTAAGCCTGATTTGGGGAGTGGGGGAAGAACTGAGCGGGCGCTCGGGGGAGCTCCCCCTCCCCGTGCATCTGGATGCCTCGTCAGCCCTGCACAATGCGGCGTTATGAACTCGCTGCGCATCATCCGGCAGCATCCGGCCCGGCGGAGACAATGGAGCGCCAATTATAGGCATCTGAATGACAAAGTGCTCCAATTACCCTGCGCTAGAGAGCGTGTGCTCTCCTCCCTGCCCAGCCTGGCAGCCAGCGCTGGCACCGGGCCCCAGCTTGGCAGAGAAGGAGGGCTCGGTGTGCGGGGGGCTTCCGGGCAGCCCGAATGATACCGGGCCATGGGTTTGGGGTGCCGAAGGGGCTGGCTCGCAGCAGGTTGGATGCACCCGCCTGCTGGGGGCCAGCAGAGCTGCTGGAGCTCCTCCTGCTGCTCCAGCCCCGGCTCGTTTGGGCCGCGGTTTGACCCCCTCTCCCCCTCCCCGCGGCTGGGGCAGCAGCAGCCGGGGGAGCAGCCGAATGCGCCGGCTATAGATAGGGCTGGGGAAGGCTGGGCCGGCAGCAGCAGCTCTCCCACGCTGCAGGCAGCTGCCGGCAGCTCCATTGCACCCGTGGGGATGGGACCTAGCAGCGTTGCTTCCTCTGTGTGACACCCGGGCTCCCATTAGCTGACCCCAGAGACCCCTGTGGCCGCAGGTCCCCTCCCCATGGCGCTGCCAGCGCCTTCCCGCCCCCCCGCCCCCCAAATGCTCCTAAATGCTGTAGCAAACACAACTTCCAGCCCCAGGTGCTGCATCCCCCCCGCTCTGCCTGCGTTTCCCTTTCAGCTCTCCCTCTTGAGCACTGAAAGCCCCATAAAGATTAACACGCTCAGAAGAGGGGCACATGGTCTGCATTAGCCCGCTGAAATGTGCATGTTATTAACACAACTCCCGTTGACAAAGCCGCAGGTATTAACACCATAAAGCATTTTGACAGCTGGACCAAGGAGGGGGGCACGGATGGAAGGTGCAGGCGACACCTCTGTAAGCTTTTAATTGCTTTTGGAGTCGTGTCGGTGGGTTTGTGTGTCCGAACAGGCGCTGCCGGCTGAGGAGGTGGCCTCGGAGGAAGCGAAGCGAGGTGGGAATTGGGCACCGTTCGCTCCAGAGTCATGGCACGGAACAGCGCTTCGCAGGGGAGCAGGGAGGGGATGCTCCAGCTGGAGACGGGCCCAGCGGCAAGCCTGGATCCGAACTGCCCCCGAGCCTGGCAGACGGGCTCTGCCTCTCTTGGCTGAAGCTCCAAACCTGGGAGAGGCCAAACCCCGGCTCCGAGCAAGCCCCAGACTTCGGGCAGCAGCGAAAAGCCACGTCTGAGGCCGGCGGGTCCGGCCAGCCCCGGGCACGGGGGCACTGCGGGGGCTCTGCCTCCCCCAACGAGCACGGGGCAACGAGCACGGGGGTGCCGGGGTTTGGGGCGGCCGCAGCTGCGGGTGCACATCTGGACCTGCCCGGGTGCGGGCTGGGGGGAGCGGCTGGGCTGCTCCTGTGAACCCCCGGCAGCTGTAATGGGGGGGGACGGATCCAGCCCCAAGGAAGCGGGTTCTGACCCGGGGAACACCAAAGCCAGGGGCTGCCCGAGTTGGGTCATTCCCTGGGGTGGGATCACTTGAATCCACACGGCTGGGACAGCTCCTGCCTTTCCTGCCCCCCGCCCATCGCCGCTAAATGTCCCTGGGGAGCTGGGCCCGCCCGGTCCCATGCCCGTGCGGGGGCAGGAGCCTCAAACACCACTGCTCTCCTCAGTCTCTGCACGAAACTGCTACAGCCCCGGCTTTAATATCCTGCCCGGAAGGTGTCCGGCTGCAGAACGAGACCTCTGGGACCCCATCAAATCCTTCCCCAACAAAAGCCACCCCCCCCATCCCCCCGGGTACTTGGGTCCATCCTCCTGCTCCCACCCGGCTCTGGGCTCTTTCCTCTCTCCTGGCCCCCATGCCCTGAAGTTGTGTCCCCGGCGCTCCCTATGCCCATCCCAGGGGCTCGCCCTTCGCTTTGGGCAGCGAATTTGGAGCTGGGGAAGTCCAGGGGGACTTTGGGGATGCGGGATGGCAGGAGATGAAGGCACCGGGGGGTGGGCGGCTTCCCCCCCGCCCCTTGCTGCCTGCCTGCGGGCTCTTACCACCCTTTTTTCCCTGTGTGAAAGGGCTGACAGCGCGGTGCAGCGCGACCAGAGGGGCCCGAACCACCCCTGGGGTCCCCATCGCCGGCTCACTCCGTCCCCGGGCGCTCTCCCTCCGCACCCAGACGCGCTCCGCCCGTTACCCCCGGGACCCCGTGGCCGCGCTCCCTCCCGGCTCTCTCCATCCCGGTACGTGTGGGACCCGCGGGGACCCCGCATCCCCCCGGCCCCCGCCCACTCCCCCCGGCCCCGCACTCACCGCCGGGAGCAGCAGCAGCGGCAGCAGCAGGAGCCCGGCCATGGTGGCGGGGCCGGTGACCCCCCCCAGAGCCGGTGCTTGGCCCGGCTGCCCTCGCTCTGCCGCCCGCTGCCTCGGCGGCAGCCAGAAAAGCGCTGCAAGTCCCTCCCCGTCCTCCTCCTCCTCCTCCTCCTCCTCATCTCCGCCCCTGAAGCATCGCGGCGAGCGCCCGAGCCAGCAGCGTCCGCCGCCGGCACACAAAGAGCAGAGACCAGACCCCCCCCAGCCCCGCTGCTCTCCCACGAAGGGATCTGGGGGCTCGGCCTCTGTCCAGCCCCTCAATTATTCACGCCCGTCCATCTGTGTCCATGCCCCCTCCTGTGCTCTGCGCGTCCGGTGATCCATCTGTCCCCATCCCTGCGGGAAACTGGAGGGGGGCTTTGGACGGGATGGAGGGACAGGGCAAGGGGGATGGCTTGAACCTGCCAGAGGGGAGACTGAGATGAGCTCTTAGGCAGAAGCTCTTCCCTGTGAGGGTGCTGAGGCGCTGGCACAGGGTGCCCAGAGAAGCTGTGGCTGCCCCATCCCTGGCAGTGTTCAAGGCCAGGTTGCACACAGGGGCTTGGAGCAAGCTGCTCCAGTGGAAGGGGTCCCTGCCCGTGGCAGGGGTTGGAGCTGGAGGAGCTTCACCCTGGTGTGCCAGCAGCACGATGCTCTTTGTGGGGCTCACTGGAAAGGTGAAGTGGGCTTTCTGGTGGCACTGGTGAGGGTGAGCAGCTGCAAATGGCCCAGAGGCGCCGTCACCGGCCCTTGGGGTGGCTCCTGCAGCTGGGATGGGGGAGAGATACCTTCACTCACCACCTCTGTCCCCTGCCCAGGGGATCTGGCCTCGTGTCCTGCATTTCCTCACCCCTCCGGGCTCTGCAGGTGCTGCTGGCATTCCCCATAGTGATGCTCACGTCCAGGTTTCCCACCACTGCGACCATTGGAACTCCACAGCTCCCGAGAGTTCTGAGCTCCCCCCTTAGGTCACATCCAAGTGCCCGGGACTGTGCAGAGCTCAGCTGGAATTCCTCTTGGAAAGCAAATTATCGACCTCCAGAGGAGCATGAGCTGCTCCTGGCCGGCTCTCACTGCTCCTCCGGGCAGCCTGGAAGGGCTTTAAGGGAAGTCCCTTGGCTGCAGCCTTGTCTTTCAATGGGATTAAACTGAAGCCAGCGCTGCCGTTTGTTCTCCGGCACGGAGACACGGGAACACATGTGGGAGCCACATGGCGATGGGTTTGACAGCCAGAAAGCCGTGCTGGGACCAGGTGGGGACGGAGCAGGATGAGCTGTGGAGCAGGGGATGCCCACCCGCAGCTCGGATGGGCAGGGAGGGAAGCGACAAGCCAAGCATCCCGCTCTCCATTTAACACAGGGATGAATGGAAGCGGAGCAAAGCTGCCTGCAGACATATGGTGGGGCCGGGCACGGCGGGGGGAGCAGCTCGGGTCTCCAGCCGTTCATTTGCCTTTGCAAGTGGCAAACCCAGCTGCTTCCCTTGGCAATCCCTGCAGGGCTTTGGGATGCGGCTCCGCGGGATGCACGTGCTGCGGACACAGGGCTTGGCGCAAGTGGTCCCTGAGGCTCCATCCCCGAGCATCGGCGCTCGATGGCACCGTGGGAGCCATCCCGGGAAGAGCCCGGTCCTGGTGGATGCAGGCAGCTCAGCTGGGCTGCATCTGCACGCGGCTGGGCTGCCGGCCAGGGGAGGTAAGTGGAAACTTCTGCTCCCATCCTAACCCTCTGCGGCTCCTTTGGTGAAGGGACTTGCGAGAGCTTCCCATTACATTCCCCTTTTCCTGTCCCAGAAAGGTTGCGGCTCTTCCCCGGCTCCACGGGATGACAAAGAGCCTCTTGGAAGTCTGCTGTCACCTCTCGGAATTAAAAGCAAAGGCTCCAGGGCTTTACTTGCTGGGGGAGCATCCCTCAGGCTGCTGCTGGGAGGCGGCAGCGCTCTGCTCTATTGCAGCCCCTAAACTCAACCGAGAGCTCCATCGCCCTGCGATCGGCTCCGTGTGCCCCGGTGTGGCCGCTCACCCTCCTCCTTGGGCCCCTTCCAACCCAAACCAGGCCGGGATTCCATGAAAGCTGGGTCTTAGCATTGCTGCTGGTCCCACTCTGCTGTGCCCGGGTGATGCTGCAGGGGCTGGCACAGCAGCGAGGGGCTCCCGGCGCCCCGTCAGCAGCACCGCCTGGGGCAGATACAGCAGCACATTGGCATTTCCTCCCCAAAAAGGGAAGGTTGAGTTAGGAAAAGCTCAATTCCAGCTTGAGGAAGCATTGCAGGAAGCACAGAGCACGCAGCACCCCTGGAGCTCTTCCAAAGGTGATGGAGCAAACCCAGGCGATGCTTTTCCCCTCTCCTCCCATCGGAGCCCCAGCAATGGCACCAGTTGAACACTCAGTGCTCCTGCCCTCAAACTTGGTATTGATGTTACTGAAAAGCGCAGGTAACAAAGCAGTGTCAGCGTAATGGGAAGTTATAAATACCAATGAATAAATAACACATTATCCATGGGAAAGCATCACCCCGGCTCCTCATGGCCGGGCCTGAGAGCAGAAATAAGGGGCTGCAAGGAAAAGCCCGGCGGGAGCAAAAGGGGCACCGTGACCATGGCTGGGACTGGTTTGGGAGCAGGGAATGGGGCCCGATGCATGGCAGAGCCCGGCTGCTCCAGGGAAAGCAAAGGGGACCTTGCCCTGCCTGTGTTGTGCTGGGAGAAGCTGTTGTGGGGCCGCCCCTGGGGCACTGTGAGCAGGGCTGGGGTCCTCAGTGTGAGGACATGGAGCTGCTGGAGCAAGTCCATGAGGATGCTCCGGGGCTGGAGCAGCTCCCGTATGGAGCCAGGCTGAGACCATTGGGGCTGCTCCGCCTGGAGAAGAGAAGCTGCGTGGAGCAAGGGAGCAGCCAGGGCTCCCCTTGGGGAGCGGAGGGAACCGGTGGCACTCGGGCACCTTTCAGGACATTTATTGCCTTGCTTCAATGGAAAAGGAGGGAACCATCGGCTCGAGCCCTGCACCCCGGGCCCCTTGGCAAGAGCCACATCCAGCGAGCAGGAAGCCGAGGCTCCCGCGGTCCTTGGCCCTCAGGTTCTCCTTACAATCAATGGGATTCAGGCACCGAAAAGCTTTCAGGGCTGGAGGCCAAGGTCGGCTCCTGTGCAGCAGGGCACGCTCCTCGCCGCCATCCTCTGCCGGGCTCCCCTGCCAGCTCCAAACCCTCCCCTTTGCGCTCGCAGGGAGGGAAGGGGAGAGCAGCTCCGGCTCAAGCCATCGAGCGAGCGGCTGCGCATCCACCCGCGGCCGAGCTTCCCCGTCCAGGGAGAGCTGCGCCCCGCATTCAGAGGGCCAGGGAGGGGCTGCTGCTGGTACCTCCCCCTTTGCCCGTGCTCCAGCCTTGTGGCTGCTCAGCCTCCCTGCGCCGTGCTTCGGGTGCAGCCTGGGACAGAGGGAAAGCAGTGTCTGTGTTCTGCGGGGAGTTATTCCCATGGGGATGGGGCTCAGTTATTCCCATGGGGATGGGGTTCAGTTATTCCCATGGGGATGGGGCTCAGTTATTCCCATGGGGATGGGGTTCAGTTATTCCCATGGGGATGGGGCTCAGTTATTCCCATGGGGATGGGGTTCAGTTATTCCCATGGGGATGGGGCTCAGTTATTCCCATGGGGATGGGGCTCAGTTATTCCCATGGGGATGGGGTTCAGTTATTCCCATGGGGATGGGGCTCAGTTATTCCCATGGGGATGGGGCTCAGTTATTCCCATGGGGATGGGGTTTGGCTTGACCACAGCATCCAAACCAAGCAATGCAGGTGCTGCTCTCCCGGCTGGGGGCGGGAGACGACACCGTTCCAGCACTGGGTCAGGATCAAACCACAGCCCCAGGATGGACGCATCCCGCTGGTGCCAGTGATGCTGGTGCAGGTGGATGAGGGAAGGATGAGCTGTCAGCACTGCAGTGGAGGGGACTGAAGGGCTCAGGGACTCCACGGATTGGGGCCACCCCGGTGCTGTCTGGGGGGTCCTGAGCACAGATTTCGCTTGGGTTTGGCCCCAGGCACCCTCGAGGTGTGGACAGGGCACAAAATCACTGCTGAGCACCTGCCGGGGGGGGACCCAGAGCACCTCAAAGGCACAGCTCGGGGGTAGGAGGGATCCAGCATCCCCAGGGCCAGGCTGGACGGGGTGTGGGGCCTCCTGCTCTAGTGGAGGTGTCCTGTGGAAGGGGTTGGAGCTGGAGGAGCTTTAAGGTCCCTTCAACCGAAACCGTTCCATGATGCTGATTCTGATTCCTGAAACTCCCAACCCCCCTGGTTCCCATAACTGTCCAAGTGTCCCAGTCTGGTTTCAATTACACTCCTTGACATCCATGCCTGTGATTCCTCCATGCCCCCCGCTCCCTTTTTCACTTGCTAATCCCCCGCCCGACGCTCCCGGCTTCCCTCCCTTTCCCTTTTCCTCTCTTTAGCTGTCTTCCCAGCACAATCCATCACCGGGCTGCAGAGGGGGATCCAGGGCAGCGCCCGGAGGAAGCTCTGGCTCCTTATAAGGACCGAGCAAAGGAATCTGCGGCGAGCGGCGACCGCGATGTCCGGGAAACTCAATCCCTGCTCGGGATGGGGCCGTGGCAAAGGCAGCAAAACCAACCCATGGCCAGCCCATGGCTTCCCTGAGCAAGGACCCTGTGGTCAGTGAAACAGCACTGAGGGGGCAGGCAAGGAGGGGACGAAACTGCTCCTTGTGGTACGCACAATAAAGCACATAAATACGTTATCAGTGTGTTCCTGCTTCAATTATGGGTTGATTCCACATGGCAGGGGCAGGGCTGGGACTTTGAGCAGGGTTCTTCCTGCCCAGGGATGGGTCAGGGGATGCTTTTCCACCCTATGGGGCAAGCAGGGGACCGGTGTAGCCCCTCACTTTCATCAGGGTTTAGTGCTTTTGGGGAGCTGTCTGACCATGTTTCCCATCCATCCATCCATCCATCCACCCACCCATCCATCTATCCATCCATCCATCCATCCATCCACCCATCCATCCATCCATCCATCCACCCATCCATCCACCCATCCATCCTGATGTTCTCCAGCATCCAGTGCTTTCCTCCTGCACCCACC